TCCCTGTGGCTCCCTCTCACATATGTATACATGGCTATCATATCTCCTCTCAGCCTTCTCTTCTTCAGGCTAAACATGCCCAGCTCCTTAAGCCGCTCCTCATAGGGCTTGTTCTCCAGACCCTTGATCATTTTAGTCGCCCTCCTCTGGACACATTCCAGCTTGTCAATATCATTTGGCAGTTGTTGTTATTCATTCAGTGGTTTTGACTCTTTGTGACCTCATAGAACAGCCCATGCCAGAGCTCCTTGTTGGCCATCACCACCCCCAGCTCCTTCAACATCAAGTCAGTCATTTCAAAGATAACATCGATCCATCTTGCCCTTGGTCAGCCCCTCTTCCTTTTTCCTTCAATTTTCCCCAGCATCATTGTCTTCTCCAAGCTTTCCTGTCTTCTCATTATGTGGCCAAAGTGCTGCATCTTTCCCTCTAATATCCTTCCCTCCAGTGAGTGGTCTGGCTTTATTCCCTGGAGTATGAACTGGTTTGATCTTCTTGCAATCCGAGGTACTCTCAAAATTTTCCTCCAACGCCACAGTTCATAAGAGTCTATCTTCCTTCGCTCAGCTTTCCTTATGGTCCAGCTTTTGCATCCATAGGTTACTACGGGGAATACTATTGCTTTGACTATGCGGATCTTCGTTGCCAGTGTGACATCTCTACTCTTAACTTTTTTATCCAGATTAGTCATTGCTCTCCTTCTGAGAAGTAAACATCTTCTCATTTCCTGGTTGCAATGCGCATCTGCGGTAATCTTCTCACCTAGAAATACAAAGTCTGTCACTGCCTCCATGTTTTCTTCCTCTATTTGCCAGTTATCAATCAGTCTGGTTGCCATGATCTTGGTTTTTTTTATATTTAACTGCAACTCAGCTTTTTCACTTTCTTCTTTCACCTTGATTAGAAGTCTCCTCAGCTCCTCCTTGCTTTCAGCCATCAAGGTGGTATCATCTGCATATGTAAGGTCGGCAATATTTCTTCCAGCAATTTTAACTCCATCCTTGGATTTGTCAAGCCTCACACCTACACATGATGTGTCCTGCAAGTTGAATAGATCGGGTGAGAGTATACAGCCCTGCCATACTCCTTTCTCAATTTAAGCTTCTGACTTCCAACTTTGTCAACTCCTTTAAAATGTCCCAGTTTCTCTTTCCGTGAACATTTTTTGTCCTCAGCTGAGGACAATTGCTGCAAATTGAGGTCAAAGTGCAAAAGCTTGCACTCATTTAAATGGAGAGTTCTTGATCTTCCCAGGGCAAACTGCTGCTGCTCCTCCTAATTTAAGTATTCTTCCTCCTTTATAACTTTTGCCATCTTGCCCACATCTGTCCTGATTTTCATTTATGACATGGTGAAGGATAGTTTGATCTGCTATTTTACAGTTTGGCATTAATCTTGAGTTAGAATTAGTTATACAATTGCTCCTTTTTCATAAAGTCTCACCATGCCTCAGTACCCTTAAAAGTCTCTGGCACTAAATAACATGTGAAAATGCCCTCCGGAAGCGGGATTAGAATCTCAAATGATCTTCTCTTGAAGTGCTTCATTAAGCTTCAGAGATCTGAGAAAGATGTTTGCAGAATAAAGTAATTCCTAATTAATGCTGAAGTGTCAAGGACTTGCCAGCCCTCTCATTTTATTCCCATCAGTCATTTAATTATTGAGTCGTACCTGATATATTTTTTTTAAAATCCTGTAAAAACTTGCATCGAGAGCTCATTCCCATATATATAGCTCCTTGGCTACTAGTCCAATTGAGTTTAATGGGATTGATTCCTAAGGAAATACATATAATAGGATTTCAGCATGAAAATAGCCCCCCGCCTATGGAATGCACTCCCAAATGAAATAAGATTGACTCCATCCCTCCTGGCCTTCAGAAAAAAATTAAAATCATGGTTTTGGGACCAGGCCTTCGGGCGTAATTTGCACCATAATGGACACTGACTGGAATGGCGTTGCGGCAGATGACATTGTGACTTTGTTTTATTGCTTTAATTAATACGATATGTATTGGTTTTAATTTTTGATTTGTATTTGATTGTGTTATATTATTGTAATTGTGATATAGCGGTCTTGCACCATTACTAATGTAAGCCGCCTTGAGTCCCCCTTCGGGGGTAGAGAAGAGACGGGGTACAAATGCCAGAAATAATAAATAAAATAAATAAAATAAAGATACAAAAATGAACTAAGGAACAATCTAGAAATATATTCTATGTCCAGTTTTTGAAATATTTAAATACCGTATATTCTGGTGTATAAGACTACTTTTTAACTCAAGAAAATCTCAAAAGTCAGGGGTCATCTTATACGCAAAGTCATCTTATACGTTGGAGTAGCCTTATGCATGGGAGTAGTCTTATACTACGGGAGTCATCTTATACGACAGGAGTCGTCTTATACGACGGGAGTCGTCTTATAGAGCGGGTGCTGAAACTTCCAATCCAGATTGGAGAATCTGTGGTTGCTGCATATTGTGGGGGGAGCTCAAAAATGGCAGTGGTCCCTGCCATATGCAGCGACTGTATGAAAGCATTAAGGGTGACGCTGTACAAGTATGGTAGAAGAAAATCCATTCATCAGGATTCGTGGACTTAATGTGGTCCCGATGGTGAGGTGAAGGTGTGCATCACCGGGAAGGTGTAAGTGAAGGGCGGAGCAAGCTGCAGGTGTCCAGGGCACCCGGGGTATGGAAAAAAGAGATAGAGTGGCTCTGAGCCCAGAAAAACACAACTCTTTTACCTGTCTGGCCCGCCCTTGTATCCTATTACCGTACCTCCTCCTCTGCCTCTCAGATCTCGTTCCTGAAGACTGCTGTGAAGCAGCGCAAGTGTGCATGTGCAAGATCTAAGAGGGAGAGAAGGAGGTACAGTAATAGGAAAAAATATTCATACTGAAATCAAATCTGATGCTTTAAAAAAATTATTTGGTGTGTGTTGGAAAAGGGGTAGTCTAAATGGCGAGTATATCCCAAACTATATTTTAACTGGAAAAGTTGGGGGTCGTCTTATATGCCCAGTCGTCTTATATGCCAGAATATACGGTATATAAAATATACACGCGTGTTTATTTAGTTATTTTTGTTCCCATTCTTTTCCATCCCTTGGTTTCATGGCATCTTACAAAAGTTAGAACAGATAAAGCTAAAAATACACATCAAACAAAAGTGGAAATATAATGTAATTATCAATATTCATTTGGAATATATGTTGGAAATAGCAACCTTCCAAGCCTCCACTAACTGTCTGCAACAGTGTATAAATGATAACCTGTATTGTATGTACATTTGAGTTTGCCAGTTTAACAATACCTTTTTGGTGTGTGGGGGGCCGGGACGGAGGCGGGGGGGAGAAAGGGCTTTGGACACAGGTCTCCATTTTTGTTATACTGTATGCTTTTAGACCTCAATGGAGGTGGATGCAGTTTGTCTCCTTTCAGACTTCAGTGAGTATAGTTATATAGTTTGGATTATATCTATATGCTTAAAGTCACTGAATACATACAAGAAGTCTGCTAGTAAACTTGAGATATTATTTTAAAGAAAACTACTTTGTTTTTGTCACTTGAATGCATATTTTAAACAAAAGGTTTTTAAGACAGAGTAGATGGGCAACTTCACCTTCAAACAACCATCCTCTGCTAACCAAATATATGTTTGTAGTGACATGTCTTTATCCTTGGCAGTTTAAAGACATGGTTCTTCAGTTTAACAGCTGAATTACCTGTGTGCCATTACAGGAATGCTTATGAATATCACTTGTTCAAAGGGTTAACTTCTAACAAGGTCCTACTTTTCTTGGCTAGTGGTTTTCAAAAGGTGGTCTCCACATGTTCATTTGCCAAATGGATGTGACATCATTTTTATCTTTTCAATAATGTTATGGTGTTATGGTGTACTTGTTTCCAATAAGTTATGGAATTTCCAATAATAGATACCCAGCCGGACCACAGTTTTGGAAGCCAAGCCCAATGAAGAGTGACTTGCCCAAGATCATCCAGGGCAGGCCTGGGCAAACTTTAGCCCTCCAGGTGTTTTGGGCTTCCACTCCCACAATTACTATTAGCTGGTAGGCTGTTAGGAATTGTGGGAGTAGAAGTCCAAAACACCTGGACAGCCAAAGTTTGCTCCAACCTGATCCAGTTGGTTTCCATAACCAAAAAAGGGATTCAGACCCTGGTCTCCAGAGTCATAATCCAATCTCAACCCATTTCACTATGCTGGTTCATATGGAAGGATATGGTCCTTCAAATTGGTTTCTGTGTCACCCCACTGCTACCAGAAAGTATAGATTCAGGTGGTCAGTTGAAACATTCACACCTAGCTCCAGCAGACAAAAGTCCTTTGTTCCACCCTGGTCATTCAACAGATATATAAACCCATTTTCCTACTTCCAACAGACCTCACTACCTCTGAAGATGCTTGCCATAAATGCAGGAGAAACGTCAGGAGAAAATGTCTCTAGAACATGGCCATATAGCCCAGAAAAACCTACAACAACCCAGTGATTCCAGCCATTAAAGCCTTCAACAATATATAAATTCAGCTGTTTTTTAAAAAATCTAAAAATATACTACTAGGGTCATATAAACAGGCCTTCAGGTACTGCAGTCCTCTGAGAGCTTACTCTGAAATAAATCGCCTTTACTGTGCTTAATGGGATATATTTCCAAGTAAGCAATAAAGAATTGCAGCCTCATATCTATCTCTGCCAGCATTCCTTTTCATTGGAGTTTTGCAGTTGGTGAATTCTTCATTTGCCTCGCTTAATATTCTGCTTTGCAGAAGTATTCCTTTGTGTGGAAAAATATAAATCTAATCAAGGTTGGGTGATCCGTATTTTCATAACAATGGATTTTGCTTTGATATTCTTTGTTAGTTTCAGGCTCTTCTTTTGATGCACAGTACATAGACTGGGATTTTTCTACTTCTCTGCTCCATATCTTTGCTAATGATCATTTTGGATCTCATTGCCTTCTTTTCTCTTGTTGATCTACAGAGGAGATCCTGAAGACTCACATTGCCCATTGGTGGTCCCCTGATGGCACGAGGCTGGCGTACGCAACCATCAATGACTCCAGAGTCCCCACAATGGAAATCCCCATGTTCACTGGCAGCCTTTACCCTAAAGTAGAAACCTATCATTACCCAAAGGTAGGTTTGAGTCAGGAGTGCTAGAAAACATTCCATTTAGAGAGAAAACTGGCTGAGGGTCACAATGTAGCTCAACACTGTCTATTCTGTATGTCTAATGCTGTTCCAAAACTTACTATGCTCAATGTCAAAATCCTGATTTGTTTGTACCAGGTTATCTTAGATCAGTGGTTCTCAATCTTCCTAATGCCATGACCCCTTAATACAGTTCTTCATGTTGTGGTGACCCCCAACCACAACATTACTTCATTGCAATTTCATTACTATAATTTTGCTACTGTTATGGATCGTAATATAAATATCTCATATGCAGGATATATTTTCATTTACTGGACCGGATTTAGCACAAGTACCCAAAACGCCCAAATTTGAATACAGGTGGGTTTGGGGGAGGGATTGATTTTGTCATTTGGGAGTTGTAGTTGCTGGGATTTATAGTTCACCTCCAATCAAAGGGCATTCTGAACTCCACCAACAATGGAATTGAACCGAACTTAATACACAGTACTCTCATGACCAATAGAAAATACTGGGAGGGTTTGGTGGGCATTGACCTTGGTTTTTGGAGTTGTAGTTCACCTACATCCAGAGAGCACTGTGGACTCAAACAACGATGGATCTGGAACAAACTTGGCATGAATTTCCCCAAACACTGGAGGAATTTGGGGAGAAATAGACCTTGACATTTGGGAGTTGTAGTTACTGGGATTTATAGTTCACCTACAATCAAAGAGCATTCTGAACCCCACCAACGACAGAATTGGGTCAAACTTCCCATACAGAATCCTCATGCCTTGAAGGGACTCGCTGGCACGAGCCTCCCTGCTGCCTTGCATGCTCTCCCTCACCTGCACATGCACACCACCCTGCCATGTGCTGTGCATGCCTGCTCTCCCCTCCCCACTTGGAGTCTCAGAAACAGCCCTCCCCTTGGCTGAGAGGCTAGGCAATCACAGCAGATGAGGGCTTTTGGTGGGAGGATTCGCCATCTGTTTCCAAAAAGGAACAAGAAAGACGGGTGGAGAGATCTTCAGCCTTCTCTGCCAAAGGAGTTGTGATGGTCTTTGGCAACCCCTCTGAAACCCCCTCGTGACCTGCCCAGGTGTCCCAACCCCCAGGTTGAGAAACACTGCCTTAGATGGAAAGTGAATTAGATCTGAATTTAGCTATATAGAGAGGAAAAATAGATTGAAATCAATAAGATGTAGTTTTGTCCAGTCCTGGGCCATTCCATAAACAAATTATTATTTCCTTTTGTCTGCCAGGTCGGAACAGAAAATCCAAGTATATCATTACATGTCATTGGATTGAATGGGCCTACTCATGATTTGGAAATGACTCCTCCTGATGATGCAAGAATGAGGTTTGTGTTGTGCTAATAAAATATGAGAATATGACATATCGCTACTATTTCTTTTGTTCTCTTCTACAGCTCCTCATTTTCCTGTTTCTTCCCTCTTATTTCCAACTTTTGGGTGCCGATCTACATTACCGGCAGAGTAATATTACACATCAAGAAGATTCCAGGTGCCCTCATATTCAATAGGTTGTCTCTGCAGTTTTCATGCCATCCTGTCCAATTTTTCTTACCAACAATCTGTTAAAGGAGAAAGACTTTACTTTCATTTACTAAGAGCTGTTCATCTGGAAGTACCTTTGAAGCAGGCTTAATTCTGAAGCACATTATTTAGCAAACTATTGGATTTCATGTCAGCATAACCTTATGAAAATGACGCTAATGTTCTTTAAAACCTCTGATCACTTCAGAGCTTTTGGATACCTTCCAGTGCAATCAGCGAGTTTGTGCTGTCACACACATCATCCAATGTACTGGTAAGGTTAATCATCTATGCTCTGCAGATGATATTCTAGGTCCCAAATTAAATTTAAAAGCTCCAAATTCACCTTGAAGTTTATTGAGATGAGTTAGGTATTTAAAAGGTGCAATGGCTGGCCATGGCCTAAAACTATTTACGAAACCCAGAGTCAGATAAATAATAAATCAGGGATCAAATGTGTGACGGTGAGTGTGTCTGAATGTGTAATAATGCTCAAACCACAATCCTCAGATGGATCTGCATATATGTTAGCATTATTGTGGAAATAAGCAATGATTGTTTCTTACAAGGACTACCTTGTAACCTTGAGCAATTCTGGATTTGCAACCTCTGATCCTTTCCTACATCTCATGAATACTCTGTACTATTAACATTTGCTCTATCCAGACCATATTACTCAGAAAATCCTACACAGGCATAAAGTCTATGTTTCATCCCATCTACAGGGGGTTGATTGGTTCAGTTGGATATACCAATGCTGTGACTCATCCAATGAACAACAGATTCAGTAGAATCATTGAGTTGGAAGAGATCTCATGGGCCATCCAGTCCAACCCCTTTCTGCCAAGAAGCAGGAACATTGCATTAAAAGCACAGCCAACAGATAGCCATCCAGCCTCTGTTTAAAAACCTCCAAAGAAGGAACCTCCACCACACTCCAAGGCAGAGAGTTCCACTACTGAACAGCTCTTACCATTAGGAAGTTCTTCCTAATGTTCTGGTGGAATCTCCTTTCCTGTAGTTTGAAGCCATTGTTTCACGTCCTAATCTCCAGGGTAGCAGAAAGCAAGCTTGCTCCCTCTACCCTATGACTTCCCCTCACTTATTTATATATGGCCCTCATCATGCCTCCTCTCTTCTGCAGGCTAAACATGCCCAGCTCTTTAAGGCTCTCCTCATAGGGCTTGTCTCCAGGCCCTTGATCATTAGAGTCACCCTCCTCTGGACACATTCGAGCTTGTGAGCATCCCCCATCAATTGTGGTGCCCAGAATTGGACACAATGTGATTCCAGTTCTGACCAAGGCAGAATCGAGGGGCAGCATGACTTCCCTGGATCTAGTCACTAGACTCCTATTTATGCAGCCCAAAATCCCATTAGCTTTTTTAGCCGCTGCATGACATTGTTGGCTCATGTTTAACTTGTTGTCCATGAGGACTCCAAGATCGTTTTCACACATACTGCTGCCGAGCCAGGTATTGTCCCCCATTCTGTCTCTTTGCATTTCATTTTTTCTGCCTAAGTGGAGTATCTTACATTTGTCCTTGTTGAACTCATTTTGTTAGTTGGGCTAGGTCTGCCCAAGACTGGAACTAACTAATAGGATTCAGGTCTTGCATACCATCCAGCATTTGGAATACATGCAAACACTCAAAGAAAGAAAAGGAAGTTGGAGCTCCTGGTACAGCCATACCAGCACATCTATCCCCCATCTTTTCACCAAATACAATAAAGCAATAATGAAAAATGTTTTTACCAGTAAACAATTTTCTAATGTTTGTACTGATTTTCCTCCAATTGCACTAGTCTACTGCTGAGATGAAACTTTTTCATTATTATTATTATTATTATTATGCAAAAAGTATACTGTTATTCTGGAATTCATAGTGCAACAAGCTATCCTCCTAGATAATGTACTGGGGTGATCTGTTGTCAACAAATGAGAAAGCAATGTTAAAGCTGATGTGTTCCCATCACAGATAGTGTGGCTCTGTCTTCAAATGCAGAGCATGAAGCTGCTGAATTGTTGCTAAACATTGCAAAGAACCTCAGAGTTAATATCTAACTTATTATTTTGCTGGGTAATCAGATTGCCAGTGTTTCCAAAGCTTCCCTCTTCTGTATGCATGAAGAAACCCTTTCCAGAAGGCAGGTTTTCTCCAGTGAGGCAGCGCGTTAATCCCAAGGAGAGCAACAGTTCCTTATGCATATTTTATGGCAAACAAATGAATTCATAAAAATTTTATGGACTGTACACACTCCGAAAAGCCATTGTATTATAATTTAAAGATAGCTTGACCTGTGCATTCAACTTGAATATGTAAATGCTGGGTGGTTTGCCGGTCTTGCAGGGGCTGAGCTTGTTCATTTTCTAGTCATTATACCTCTTTCTCAACTTTTGAGGAGCAGGAGCTGGTCACTGCATGTATCCAAGATTGAATTGGCAATACTAGGCAAAAATCTCACTGTCACAGGCATGGGCAGACTTTGGCCCTCCAGGTGTTTTGGACTTCAACTCCTACCATTCCTAACAGCCTCAGGCCCTTTCCTTTTCCCACTCAGCCGCTTAAGTGGGAAAAGGAAAGGGCCTGAGGCTGTTAGGAATGGTAGGAATTGAAGTCAAAACACCTGGAGGGCCAAAGTTTGCCCATGTCTGCGCTATCAGGTAGTATGGGGACTAAAACTTGGGTCAAAGGAAACAACATCAAAATAATAAATCCCAGACTTGTTAATGTTTCCAGTTCATAATCATAGACTGGGGTCAGCATATTTGTTCAGGGCAGCATGCTGTGGCTTCCCTTCTGATGAAGGTGATGTTACATACCCAGACTCAACGTCTCTGGAGGAAGTCTGGGGATTGCCCATTAGCCTGGAACTGGAGAGAGTAAAGAGGGAGTGGACTGCATCCATCATTGTGTTAGGTAAAATTTGGGGAGCTTCCAAATACTCAACATGCCATTAAAGGGAAAAAGGAGGAAGAGTGGGAGAAGGAGGACAACAAGGCACGAGTATTTTGAAATACCTATTTTGAAATATATATAAATATTTTGACCCAAAAAAAGTTACTTTAAGAAAAATTGAATGTACCATATATTGTCGAAGGCTTTCATGGCCAGAATCACTAAAGTGCTGTGAGTTTTCCAGGCTTTATGGCCATGTTCCAGAAGCATTCTCTCCTGACATTTTGCCCACATCTGTGGCAGGCATCCTCAGAGGTTGTGAGGTCTGTTGGAAAACTATGTTGAAGTTATCCACAACTACAGCAATACATTTCTAAGCACTTAATCACTAACTTTGAAAACTACAAAGCACTTAAATCAAAACACACACATCAACAGCTTCAGCATACCACTATATTCATTCTTTTAAGTTGCTTTCCATGCTCTCGTTGGAATGAGGCCAAGCTAAATTGCATGGGGCAACCACATTTCTTAGCCTTACAGCCCCCCAAATTAATGCCAATGAGACCCAGTCTAAAAGACACTAAAACAATCATTAATCCAGTAATTTGTGCCGTTCATTTCTGAAAGAAAGCAGTGAAGCACAATTCAAAGTACTGGCTTTAACCTATAAAGTCCTAAATGTATCTCCTTCTATGAACCATATCAGAGGTTAAGATCATCTGGGGAGGCCCTGCTCTCAGTCCCGCCTTCTTCTCAGGCGTGACTGGTGGGAACGAGAGACAGGGCCTTCTCAGTGGTGGACCCTTGGCTGTGGAACTTCCCAGTGATATTAGAGTAGCTCCCTCCCTCCTGGTCTTCAGAAGGAAGGTGAAAATCTGGCTCTGGGATCAAGTCTTTGGAGATTAACTAGAGTGCAATAAAAGCTGAAGAATATGTGCAATGATTTTTGGAATGGCCCCGGGTTACGGTTGTGGATGGCATGATTTCTAACTGTGAATGCAATGTTTTATATGTTTTAACATGCATATAATTTTAATTTTGAATTTTAACTTATATATATTTTAATTGTGTATTGTCCAAAGGGTAGAGAAATATGGGATGTAAATAGAGTAAATAGGTAAATAAATAAATAAATAAAACAGCAAGACAGAAGTAGGACTACGGTGAAGGCATTTTAACACAAGGAAGGAAAAAAAGCAGGACTCTCCTTTTATTCAGTTCCTTGTGAAACCTGACCTGGAATCCTCTCAAATCCTGTGCCGTCATGCCTGGGGGCTATAAGTCTTAGTGAAAGAGGCATGGACATGACATCTTTCCCCAGGGGATTGCTTCTTGCCCTCCTTTAGGAAAACTGGAACTCCCAAGGACCAAAACACTGTAGATAACTCAAAGGTTTTATTGTTCACAAAGAGTTATCCCTTTAAGGCAATAAGCTGGAAGTTTCAAAGGGGTAAAGGAAAATATACATTACAGTCTCTGGTTGTTTTGGGTCCAAGGAGTTTTGCAGCTGAGAAGCTTTTCCAGGTCCCTCTTTCTCAATGGCTGTGAATATCGGAATAATCACAACCCCAATTCCAATGGCCTATATTTTGAAGTCACAAAGCCTTCCTCTGGTGCCAAAGAACTGGTTTGAAGGCGCTTGATACTTCTCAACGTCGTCCAGGTTGATCTGAGCATGAAGCATAAGTCTAAAGGGTAAGAACCTCAGAATTGGTGCTGAGAGGTAACTTAATCAAGGGCTTCAGAGCCAAGTCTCTCTCTCACGTCCATCTGATAGAAAGTTTGATGGTGGAATGGAAAAGGAAACACTGTCCTGCTCTCGAGGAAGAGGTGGGGTCAAACAATTGAGCAGGAGGAGCAATTCAACTGGTGCAAACAACATTGATTGACAGCTATAAATAACCAATCAATCGAACTATACATTTAAAGAGTAAAAAGGCAAAATCAGGCATGCTACAACAGTTCAAATCCTGCAACTTACAGTTCTACATATAGGTGGTGCCACTCGCGCTGTCACAAATCCAAAGGCAATTGCTAAAATAGGAATCCTGACTAATTTCCTCCCAAATCAACACACAATAAGGGCTTTCCATATATTTATACTTCAGTCGAAAAATGTCTGACAAAACAATCAACCTCAAAGGTCTGGGTCTACTTATTCATAGGTCAGTGCTGGAAACAAATGATAGCACAGCCCAACGAAAAGAAAAGTCTTGCTGTCTAGGCCTGTTCCTGTTGTTATTTGGGGTGCTGATTCAGAAAATTGTATTGGATAGACTGCATCAGCTCTGGTTTCTTAGATATGGGTTATCATAATTTCCTTTGAGTGAACAGATGGCGACTGGCATCTATAGCATATGTTCTGTAGCTCAAAAACTACAGCTGGTAGGTGCCATTTTTGGAACTAGCAGGTCAAACAGGATTTGAAGCACCAAAATATGTGTTGGCCGGTGTAATGGCACCAGCTTGATGAACTTATGCTTCCTGCCATTTTGGACGCATGAGATGGAGAGGAGCAGTGGCCATTTTTAATAGGGATTTACTATATAAGCCTTGTGAGGCTAGCAGCCATTTTAACAGGGACTTACAGCATTAGCTGTAAATGGTCCCTTATGTTGCTGCTTTGCAACACTCAACCCAAAAGACAGTGAGGAAGGGGCGGGGGCTGCCTTTCTCTCTTGTGAATGCTATTTATTACTGAGGGCCACAGACATTTAAGCAACAATGTTGACCAGGGTCAACATTATCCACCCACTCCACACATAGACATTCCTGCTTGTATTGCAAGGGATCACGGGTTTAGGGTGCGGGGTCCCTTTTCGAAGAAATCCACAGAGTCCAATTGGTTCATGTAAGACACCATTTATTCAAGCTGATCAGCCTGAGACGGACAGTCATCACTTCTGTATAAGCTTTCAAAGACTGCCGCCCCCTCCTCTGTTTCTGCTGACCTTTATACTCAAGTAATAGGTCATGGAAAGTACTCTCTTTCCAGCCCCCCTCCCTTGACCTTTTGATGGAAAGTACCTTCTTGTACCTGCAGACTCTACGCTTAACCACAACCTTTGGCTTAACCACAACTCAACTTCCTATGTAAGCTTGAACTTTGTATGACCTCTACATGTCACATCTTGTTTCTTAAAAACATTTTCTTCCGTGTTGCTCTTTTTCTACAGAGAAAGGGTATATTTCTCTTTTGTTGTTAATTTCATTCAAAGCCCCTTGCTTAGCATTTGCAAATTTCACTCAAAGACCCTTTCGGTATGTCTCCCAGTTTTAAATATGCCTCTCAGTTTTAAATATACTTTTGGGGCCAAAATTGCCAATTTTGGCCCCAAAAGTAGCCTTCAACTTTTGCATGTGTCCAACTTATGCATGAGTACAGTCAGTCCCCAAGTTACAAACAAGATCTACAACAAATCCTGATGTGTCCTTCTAGTTGTATTGTTCGCTAGTTGAGCAGCTGACTCAGCACTAAAAAAACTAATTTCTTGTGACTTGCATTAACCTGTACCTTGTTACACTGATCTACCCACCTTTTCCCCACTCGGTTATGTTCCATGTGGCACATTTGAGGTTGTTGTTGCTGCCTTTACTTTTCCGCCTTCCCTTTCCTTGGGCTTCTCTCCCTGCTCGCTCCATCTTGTGTCCCTAGGGCTCACTTGTTAATGAGCTTGTGGACATGACTGTCAGCTGCCTGACACAGATTTTAAGCCATTTGGACCTGAACTGAATCATTCCAGAGCTTTGCACAATCCTGACATGCATTAAACATTCAACAGCAGCCGGAGCAATACACAGAGGCAGAAGTGATTCCTATACAGTTGACCTGTGTGTGACCTTGCCTCTTCACATTTCAAATCACTAGACAGTAGTGCAATGGACCTCGCGGGGTCACAGGGATGGGACTTTTTCGCTTATTGAAGATGCGGATATCATCTACCACCTGCTCCTCCCACCCACTGATCCATGTATGGTGGGCCCTAGGTATCTGCTGGGGTTTGACTCTAGGATACTTTCACCATCACCATAATCAAGTCCCATTATATACAAAGCATAGTAAAATGGTATTCTTTGTGTAAAATGGTGAACAATTCAAATGAGTGCTGTAAGGAGCCTGAGCCTCTGTGAAATGTCAGGACACAACAGGGTATGTCTACACATAGTGCAAAAAAGTGTGTGTGTGTGTGTGTGTGTGTAGCAAGCATGGTTGGTTGAACTCATGGACAGTAAAGGTAAAGGTTTTCCTCTGACATTAAGTCCAGCCATGTCCAACTCTGGAGATTGGTGTTCATCTCCATTTCTAAGCTGAAGAGATGGCATTGTCCATAGACATCTCCAAGGTCATGTGGCTGGCATGACTACATGGAGCTTGGTTACCTTCCCACCTGAGCGGTACCTATTGATCTATTCACATTTGCATGTTTTCAAGCTAGGTTGGCAGAAGCTGCAGCTAGCAGAGGGAGCTCACTCCGCTCCCTGGATTCAAACCGGTGACCTTTCGGTCTGCAAGTTCATTGGCTCAGTGGTTTACCCCACTGCACCACCGGGGGCTCCAAACCCATGGATATGGGGGGACAATTGTTAGCACATATATCCATATATGCCTCTGGTAATGCAGCTGGTGATCCTGCTGAGCTGCTGAACTTGCTGATCAAAAGATTGATGGTTCAGATACAGGGAGTGGGATGAGCTCCCACTGTTAGCCCAGCACCTGCCAACCTAGCAGTTCAAAAGCATGCAAATGTGAGTAGATCAATAGGTACTGCTCTGGCGGGAAGGTAATGGTGTGCCATGCAGTCATACTGGCCACATGACCTTGGCGGTTCTATGGACAATGCCGGCTTTTTGGCTGAGATATGAAGATGAGCACCTCAGAGTCGGACACGACTAGGATTAATGTCAGGGGAAAACCTTTACCTTACATTTACCTTAATACTTTTAATATGTTTTAATCTTAGGTCTATATATTTTTAATATCAATCTTACGTTTTTATCTATGTATTTAAATTTTCTTGTACCCAGCCTTAAGAAAAGACAGGTAAGAAATAAGGTGGTGGTGGTGATGACTAAAAAGTCCTTGTAAATGGTGTTGGGGGAACTGAGGCTAACAAGCAAAGCCAGATAAGGGAAATTGCATTATGAAGTTAGCTAATGGCCATGCTGACTGGCCAGACTACAGGAAACAGGGCTGAATGGGCAGGAGCCAAAATGGCAGCAGGTCTTAAGAAGTCTAATGGGAATGACTTAATTGTCCTATCTCTTGCCCTGAGGACACTAGAATTGCATATAGTCATAGTGAATGAAGCGGCCTTCTCGTGGTGATTTCCAGGTGAAATAATGCACCCTTCTACCAGTGTTATAAAATGAAATACCATAAAGTTTGTTTACAGTGTGGCACATCTGGTTGGGTATCAGCTGCATTAAAATCACTACTGACCAAGAGGTCATGAGTTTGAAGCCAGCCCAGGTTGGAGTGAGCTTCCGGCCATTTGTCTAACTCGCTGTCGACCTTTGCAGCCCGAAAGACAGTTGCATCTGGCAAGTAGGAAATTTAGGTACCACTTATGCGGGAAGACTAATTTAACTAATTTATGACGCCATAAAACTCTCCAGCAGTGTGCAAAAAGAATGAGGAAGTACTCCATCGGTGTCACAAGTGGATGGTGTAGCAACAGCTCCCCCGGTAGCCAGAATTCAAAAAGCATACCCCCATAATGCTGGAAAGTTAAATAGCCTTTGTTTCCCTGTCTATATATGTTGTGTGTCTATGTCATTCAATGGTTGCTATGTATATGTGCATTGTGATCCACTCTGAGTCCTCTGCGGGGCGAGAAGGGCAGAATATAAATACTGTAAATAAATAAATAAATAAATTTAGTGCATGACAATATAGCACTCAAGAACAATTGTTTGTTTTTTTCAGGGAGTACTACATAACCATGGTGAAGTGGGCAACCAGTACCAAAGTGGCAGTCAACTGGCTAAACAGGGCACAGAATTTTTCTATCCTAACTCTCTGTGATGCAACCACGGGAGTCTGCACAAAGGTATGTTTTTATATCTGTTGCACATAATAAAAAAGACCCAAAGATACCTAAATAACAGTGACTTTGGTGACAATCTCGATCACATGATGTTAAACAGTACCCATTGTCTCTCTGCAAGAAATCCTTAGCAATGGAAACCCATTGGATGACCTTGGACACCTCTAAAAAATCATGTAATGCCCTGTGGTTTTACACTTTTGATCCCATATATCTAGCACATCACAAACCCAAGAACTGATTGTGTGTGTAGACATAACGTTTCTTACCTGCCTGACCCCCTCTTTTGCTCCTCACCCTAGTGATCCCAGTTTAAGAGAGAGAGAAAGGTGATCCTACAAGACTTAAGTTTGCCTATTCTCAAGCATAAGATAACAACCCCACTTTAAATGCAGCCAGTTGTTTAACCAGAAGCAGAAGCGGAGGGCAGGGTAATGAGCGGCATTCGCATTGCCTTCTCATAAAGCACGCTCAGATGATTTCCTCTGTGTTTGCTAATCCCAGGTTGAAATTGAGTCAAATGGCTTTCTGCCCTGATGAGCCAGGTATAATAGATGTACACCACAGTATAGTATTTTAATTATGTTTCTTCATTTCAGAAACACGAAGATGAGAGCGCAGCCTGGCTGCATCGACAGGTAATGCAGGCCTTTCCTTCTGAATCAGTTTTTTCCCCCTTCTGTCCTTAATAAAAGAAATTTGTTTCTGGCCAGCTTCTAAAATAACAGAGTAAAACCACTAAGGTACATGTTCAAGAGAAAGAGGTACAAGTTTAAGAGAGATGATTAATAGTGATCTCAGGATCTGCCTTCCCAGTTCCTACGTAGGAATGCAACTTTAGCCTGCATTGATAGAAGCATAGTTTCCAGGTAATAGTCCCACATGAAAGGCACTGCAGACTACTTCAGTCAGAGAATTCAGCCATAGCAGAGCACTTGATGGACCAACCTGGACATAGCATATTATTTGAGAACATAGAAATGCTGGACCACTCTAACAGCCACTCCGAGTCCCTTATTGGGAGATGAGGCAGGGTATAAATGAAGTTTTATTTTTATATTATTATTTATTATTATATTAGCAGTTCGAAAACATGCAAATGTGAGTAGAGCAATAGGTACCACTACGGCAGGAAGGTTACGGCGCTCCATGCAGTCATGCTGGTCGCATGACCTTGGAGGTGTCTACTGACAATGCTGGTTCTTCAGCTTAGAAATGGAGATGAGCACCAACCCCCAGAGTCAGACATGACTGGACTTAATGTCAGGGGAAAGCCTTTGTCTTTACCTTATTAACAACCACCATGGCAGACTACACAGCCATTGAAATCAACAAGCATGTGGGCTATTTCAACAGAAAGGAGGAAACTATGAACATGAACAATATCTGGCTACCTGTATGAAAAAAAAACTCTAAAATTAGGACAGTAAATAAAGAACAACACTCAAAAACAAGGAAATTCCAGACAGGAAACAATCAGGGCTAGCTAGTCACCTCCCAACAAAGGATTCCCTCAGTCAGGAAGCAGCCAGGCTTTGAAGCTGCAAGGTTATTCAATGTTAATCAAGGTGATCAATTGCAACATTCACAGACAATAGTTCTTTCTCCCACCCTGGACATTATTCCACATATATATAAACTCCACTTACCTAGTTTCCAACAAACCTCACAGCCTCTGAGGATGCCTGCCATAGATGTGGGTGAAACGTCAGGAGAGAATGTTTCTGGAACATGGCCATACAGCAACCCAGTCCCACTATATTTTGGACTGGTCAGGCTTCATCTGGAGAATAGCATTCACCTCTGGGCAGCACATTTTGTGGATATAGAAGAGTTGGAACAGGTTCAGAGAAGGGGAACAAGGGTGCTGAAAGGTATGGAGGACAAAACCTACGAAAAAACGTTGAAAGAGCTGGGCATGTTCACCTTGATGAAGAGAAGATTGAGTAGTGAGATGATTGGCCTTTTTAGATACTTTCGAGGACTGTCAGTTATATTAGTTTACTGACACAAAAGCACAGTATGTCACAGCAAATGAGATCTATATGCTGGATTTCATATCACAAAATCACCAAGCGTCTAGGACTGTGTGATGTATTTTCGAATGATGCGCGCAGATCCAAGTCAGGTGGCCTTTTGCAGTTGACAGATCGTGATTTTGTCGATGTTTATTGTTTCCAAATGCTGGCTGAGACCTTTTGGCATGGCACCCAGTGTGCCAATGACCACTGGGACCACCTGTACTGGTTTATGACAGAGCCTTTGCAGCCTTTGCAATGTATTATTATTATTATTATTATTATTATTATTATTATTATTATTATTATTGGGATGTGTTCGACTTGTGATTTTGTTATATGAAATCCAGCATATATATATCTCGTTTGCTGTGTCATCCTGTGTGTTTGTGTCAGTAAAATAATAATAATAATAATAATCATTATTATTATTATTATTATTATTATTATTATTATTATTATTATTATTACCTGTCCCTCCATAGTGCTCAAGGAAGGATATAACATGGTTAAAACAGACAGACAGGGTAAAAGAGAGTGGTATAGAAATTCAGTAAATAAATAAAATAAATGAATAAAATGCATATATCAAATACACACAGCAGACTGATACCTATGCCAAAGAGAGGAGGGGGCTGGTTTGTTTATGCTGCCCAAGAAGCTTAATGGTTTTAGGTTACAAGAAAAACAATTCTTGAATATGGGAAAGAATGTCTTTTATGGTAAGAGCCATTTGTCCGTGAAACCAGTTGGCGAGTGTCCTTGTCTGGACATCTTCAAAATAAGCTGGACAGGTTCCTGCTAGCAATACTTCGGTTGGAGATCCTATACTGAGCAGAGCTTGGACTAAGTGACTCATTCCAACACTATGATTCTGTAACTGTAAGACTTTAGTATGGAAATAAATAGCTGGAATGTGTGTATTTAAACCAGTTTTCCATTTTTCTCCCAATATATGACTTGAGGCAGATCACAACATAGATAAATCACCCTAGTATATGTCAGAAATATTAAAAATTAACTAGGTATTTTTAATTACAAAACTGTTAGTCAATCACTGAAAGGGTTAAATGGATGCAATGACTCAGCAAAGGCCTCAGTTCTATATAGGCAGGTGTGACTTTTGCTTAGTAGCCGTCAGTCTGAGGTAAACCTCAGTGGGAGAAAGGTCTGTCTGTGAGGTAGGCCTTAGTCTATGAGAAGGCTGAGTGTGAGAAGCTTCAGTGAAAGAAGTCCAAGGTTAAAGGCCTTGTGTATAAAGGCTGCTGTGTGTAAAAAGCTCTTGTGTGAAGCTCCAGTATAAGTACATTGTGAGAGGAGGCTCTGTGAGAGTGAAGCTGTATATCTGCATGAGGAAGAAGCCCAGCATGGAAGCAAAGAAGGAAGTATAAAGGACTTTGGGTTGTTGTAGSTCTTTTCAGGCTWTATGGYCATGTTCTAAAGGCATTTTCTCCTGACGTTTCACCTGCATCTATGGCAAGCATCCTCAGAGGTAGTGCCTGGAGCACTGCCAGGCAATCAAATGCTAATCAAGGTGATCAGTTGAAACATTCACACCTAGCTCCAACAGACAAGAGTCCTTTGTCCCACTCTGGTCATTCCACAGATACATAAACCCTTTTTCCTAGTTCCAACAGATCTCACTACCTCTGAGGATGCTTGCCATAGATGCAGGCAAAACATCAGGAGAAAATGCCTTTAGAACATGGCCATATAGCCCGAAAAGACCTACAACAACCCAGTGATTCCGGCCATGAAAGGACTTTATTTTTGTTGTGGAAACCTTGTTATTGTAAATAGTGCAACTTTATATAACTTTACTACAAATATCTTTTATTTTACTACAAATATCTTCCACTTCCTACAATGGTCCAACATTCCCCATTGCTCTCTACTTCCTTTTTCTGATCCCCACGTTACTAGGACCCAGTGGAAGAATCCTATGCTATTAATCACTCCAAAATATAATGGCATTTGACACAGCTCCACAGATAAGTAAAAACTGCTTTCCTAAGAAGGTCTACAGGAATTGCATTTGATAGCATGGCTATTCCAAGCTGTGCCGTTTCATTAAGTGAGTGATTAATAGGTTATCTCTTTTTCTTTTTTAATACTGTCTCAAATTATCAGGCTATAATAGTCATACCGATTACCAGGTTGTAGATGTCATAGATTTTCCCTATTTCCTTTCTTTTAAGGCCAGAAGGTAATTTTCAGGATTGTTCGAACTTAAAAAAAGCAAAATGTTGATAGCTGTTCCGTCAAAATTTGGTCTTAGCATCACAGATCGCAATGGATGTAGTTCCCCATCATTTTTGATAGCAAAGCAATTTGGCTATTACTCATGTTAGGCATCCCATTAAATCAGGGATGGAGAACTTGAGGTCCTCTATGTATTATTGGATCTGGTGCCTATCAGGCCTAATGGTTGAAGATGAGGGTTGCCTTTGAAGACGGTTTGGAAACTTCAAATAGTCCAATGGGCGGCAGCCACATTGCTCACCGGAGCGGTGTATAGGAAACACACAACTCTCCTATTGCGTCAGCTCGACGGGCTGCCAGTCTGCTACCGAACACAATTTAAAGTGATGGCTTTAGCCTATAAAGCCCTAAACAGTTTGGTCCAGCTTACCTGCCCAAAAGTATCTCTCTCTACAACTCACCTTGGAGATTAAGATTGTCGGGGGAGGCCCTGCTCTCATTCCCACCTGCCTCGCAAGCGCGACTGGTGGGAACGAGAGACAGGGTCTTCTCACTGGTGGCCCCTTACCTATGGAACTCCCTCCCCAGTGAAAATAGATCTGCCCCATCCCTCCTGACCTTCAGGAAAAAAGCAAAAACATGGCTCTGGGATCAAACTTTTAGCCAGTAACTAGAGTGGTGCAATATAAAACTACAAATTAATATAAGACGACTCAGACGAGCCCTGAAATATGATTTAGATCATGTGATTTTAATTGATGTATAAATACTATGTTGATAATGGGTTTTTTAATAATGTTTTTGATTATTTACTGATATATCAATATATGGCATTGAACTGTTGCCTTCTCAGGGTTGAGAAGGACAGGATATAAATGTGGTAAATAAATAATAAATAAATAAACCCAACAATATTTTAAAAGCTGCATGAAATACATCCAGGACCATGGCATGTCATATTAAGACCATTGGACTGGGATTTAGGAAATTATATTTCAGGTCTCCATTGATCCATTTACTTATCATATCAGAAGCGAACCAAGGGTACAGTTTAATGTATTTTGAAAACACAAAGTTTAAAAATTTGGCATTATATTAAATGTCCTTTGACCAGTAGCCGGCCACTTGGAGTGCCTCTGGTGTTGCTATAAGGAGGTCTTCCTTTGTGCATGGGACAGGGCTCAGACTGCATTGTAATAGGTGGTCTGTGGTTTGCTTTTCTCCACACTCACATGTCGTGGACTCTACTTTGTGGCCTCATTTCTTTTCTTTTTTTTATGTTTTTATTTGGAATATGTTGCTCCTTAGAAAGAGTGGATAGAAAGAGAAAAGAATAAATGAATCAGAAAAGTCGAAATGCAGTATTTACATGGAAAGAGTGGGAACAATGTTTGCAAGAAAGTTGGGAAAAGCACTTCAAAGTCAGCTAACTTCAGGGGGGAAAATGGTGGGGGAGAAGGAAGGGGGAAAAAAGAGTGGACAAACAAAATAAGACATGTGGTTTGTTTCAGACATGTGGCCTCATTTCTTAAGGTTGGCTCTGCAACCAAGTCACCCAGTCATGCCTTCCAAGTCACCCAGTCTTCTGTGTGCACACAGGGGAGACTCTTATTCAGTATCAGTCATGGATTGAGATTCTGGGTTTTGGCCTGCCACTTTTGGACTCTAGCTTGCTGAGGCTTCCTGCAAGTATCTCTGTAGATCTTAGAAAGCCATTTCTTGATTTAAAGCATTGGCATGCTGGTTGATACCGGAACAGAGGATAGGCCAGAGATGTCAGTGCCTTGGTTTTTTCATTATTGGCTGTTGCTTCCTGGCAGATGTCAGGTGGTGCAATACTGGCTAAACAGTATAATTTCTCTAGTGGTGTAGGGTGTAGGCATCCTGTGATAATGTGGCATGTCTCATTAAGAGCCACATCCACTGTTTTAGCATGGTGAGCTGTGTTCCACACTTGACATGCGTAGTCAGCAGCAAAGTAGCAAAGCGCAAGGGCAGATGTCTTCACTGTATCTGGTTGTGATCCCCAGGTTGTGCCAGTCAGCTTTTGTATGATATTGTTTCTAGCACCCACTTTCTGCTTGATATTCAGGCGGTGCTTCTTGTAGGTCGGAGAACGGTCCAGGGTAACTCCCAGATATTTGGGTGTGCTGCAATGCTCCAGTGGGGTTCCTTCCCAGGTAATCCTCAGAGCTCGTGATGCTTGTCTGTTCTTAAAGCGGAGAGCGCATGTCTGTGTTTCAGATGGATTAGGAATCAGCTGGTTTTTTTCCCTGTAATAGGCAGTAAGAGCACCTAAAGCATTGGAGAGCTTCTGTTCAACCTTTTCAAAGCTCCCTACTTGAGTGGTGATGATGCAATCAACAGCATAGATGAAACTCTTTGTCCCTTCTGGGAGTGGCTGGTCATTTGTGTAGATGTTAAACATCGATGGGGTGAGCATGGTCCCATGAGGCAGGCAGTTCTTCTGTTTTTGCCATCTGCTTCTCTGGCCCTGGAATTCAACAAAAAAGCTCCTATTGCGCCATGAAGGTCATCGTGTGACCTTAGCCCAATCATGCTCTCTCAGCTTGATTTACTTCATTCATAGGGTTGTTGTTATGATGATAAAGTGAAACAAATGAGAGCCACACAGTCCACTTTGAGTCCATTATAGGAAAGACAGGGTATAAGTGTAACTAATAAATAGCCCTTAACAATAAAATAGTACCTCAAGTGCAAGCGGTGGGTGTTGTACTACTTTCAATTCTGCATCCTGACAAAAAGAACCGAAGTCTTTTCAACAAATTTCTCTGGCTCCTATTAAATAATGCAATTCATGCCATGTAATTTTCAGTAAAGCTGAAAGAATGGGAATCATTAGAAAACCCAGCACCGTGACAGTGTGAATTAGGGAAACTTAGGAACAGAATTATCATGAAACCTGCGCATTGAAGATCCATTGCTAGAGCTTTGCTAAAGAAAGAAAAGCAGGAAGGAGAGGGAGCTCTTATTATTTCTGCAGATGCGGCCATACAAAGACCGCAAAGAGGGGAAAAGCCAGACTACCATCGCAAAATATCCTCCTTAACCAGGGACTGATACTTTCTCTACAAGTCTTTCCATCATGGACTGTTCATTTGTTTAGTCCCAAACAAGCTGTTTTCCTATGGTCTCAGTTTGGTGTTACAAATAGTACTATACCCTCCAACATTATATGTTGATGAAAACCAAGCAGCAATTAGAAGTGACCAAGGGAGCAAAAGTTAATAATGAGGAAGACCTCACAAGCTACGTGAGGCTGCTGAATTTTCCTTTTACTTTAGCTGACTGGGAAGGGAAGATTTTATTCCTTCCTTTCCTTTCCTTTCCTGCCACTCAGTTTATTGAATGCTACAAGGGTTATCTGGAAAGTAAGGTTATAAGGCACGTAGCTCTTGAGGGGAATTTTCTCTAGGGAAGTTGGTATCATTGCCATGTAGCGGGAAGCCAGTGGAAGCGAATGAGCAGTGCCAGTCGTCAGTAGCTCATCGACTGCCGTTGTGGTGAAGGTTAGAGATTAGTGTCCTCATTCAATTTTCCTTCAAGTGCGAAATTTGTGCCTAAAGGCTAAGGGCATGAATGCCACTGCAACTCATTGTGAAATCGTTTCAGTTTATGAAGTCAAGACAGCATGTGACAAAATGGGTACACAATATTTTGTGAGACCATGAAGAAACTTCACAGAGCCATCCAAAACAAATGTTGTGGGATGCTGATGGCAGGAGTCTGTCTCCTTCATGACAATGTGCTTCTGTACATTGCTCATGCTACAAAAGAGTTGTTGACTTCAGTTGGTTGGGATGTTTTAATCCACCCTTCTCACAGCCCCAGCCTCAAATCCAGTGACTATCATCTGTTGACTAAATTGAAGGAACATCTTGGTGGAAAACATTTTTCTGATGATGACGAGGTGAAAATCAAAGTGACACACTGGCTGAAAAATGTCGAGGGAAACTTCTATGACACAGGCATCAAAAACTTTTCCCACAGATGACCAAAATGTATCGAACTGAATGGTGATTATGTGGGAAAATAATGTAATACCTATGCTACAATCCATGTAAGTTTTATTAAAATATATTCATTCTTTGTATTTTTTAAAAAATCTTGTAACCTTACTTTCTGTATAACCCACTTCGAAATTAGAAACAACCTGGAGGCCTGCAACAAAAACAATATCCTCATTTTGTTCTCTTGCATTATATCGACACCCTGGGCACTTCTACGTTAAAGTCTGTCTGCAAAATCCCCCTTTTTGTTCTGAACAATATATAGTGCAATTCATGATGGAGTGTTGTTGATGTCTTTGTGAACAGCAAAACGGACAGTGTTTTGGGCAAGGAAGGCACACAAACAACTAAGTTTGGCTCAGTTGTTAGATTATATCGTGTAGCCTTTGGCAGAAAAGACGTATTCAACTGCAACCTCTTTTCACAGAAACTTGTATTAGCGATGCCTTCCAGCTGGTTCGCTGTCGATCTGTATATGTTTGATTTTTTTAATGTTGCAAAAGGATAATATCCTTGAAGATTAAAATGCTTCAATGCACCAGATCTCCTCAGGGTTTCTTCTTTGTTAGGCAATGATAAGTCAAAAAAGAAGAAGAAGAACAAAACCTCACAACCTCAAAGAATAGAAATGAAAGGTAGTTCCAAAACACCACTACTCCGTGATTCGAAGGATCAATTGGCTCACTTTGTAGTTCTCAAGCAACAACTACAGAAAGTAGAGGAATGGTTCCCTTTCATACCTAGTCTTGTATCGGAGTCTGGAAAAGGCACATTTTGGACAGACTCTGTGGACTATTCTAGTAGAACAACAAGGGTTTCAGTATTAAAAGGAAGGAAACAAGAGAAAAAGATATTTGGAAGCACCTTTAAGCCTAGCTAGTCTTATTTTCTAATTGATCTTTGTGAATATAACCCATATATTGTCGAAGGTTTTCATGGCCGGAATCACTGGGTTGTTGTAGGTTTTTTCGGGCTGTATGGCCATGGTCTAGAGGCATGCTCTCCTGACGTTTCGCCTGCATCTATGGCAAGCATCCTCACTACCTCTGAGGATGCTTGCCATAGATGCAGGCGAAATGTCAGGAGAGAATGCCTCTAGACCATGGCCATACAGCCTGAAAAAACCTACAACAACCCAATAACCCATATACTTCAAATGTGGTGCTATTTCTTTCCTTTGTCCCCCTCCACTGATGACATTTCCATAGTAATACCCATTTTTCCACTGTTTGCAAGTGACATTACATCATTTCCTGTCACCATATTAAGAGGAAATGCCAGGGAAAGCAAGGTTTGTGTGCTGCATGCAATGCCTGCTGAAATTCCCTTCTGCACAACCATGACATTGTTATCCTGAAATGGTATCCATTTCCAAAACTCAGGCCAACAGGAAAGGGTTCAGTGGGACTGAGCAGGTTTTAAGTTGGGCTTCTGAAATTTCCAAGATTTGACTTACATCTGGCTGGTGGAAGATGTCCAAAGAAATAGAATGATTGTCTTTTTAGTGTGGATCATAGAATCATAGTGTTGGAAAAGATCCCAATGGCCAATAGGTTCATTTGGCACTCAAGTATATATAATCAATGCAGCCCTGGCAATTGGCTGTCTAGCCTCTATTTATTAACCTACAGAGAAGGAGATTCCACCACACTCCGAGGAGACCGTGTATTCCACTGTTGAACAGCTCTTTCCAGCTAATGTTTGGGTGAAATCTCTTTTCCTACTATTTGAATCTATTGCTCTGTGTCCTAGCCTCTGGAGCAGCCAAAAACAATCTGGCTCCATCTTGCATATGTCATCCTTTCCAGTGTTTTATTTTTTTTTAAAAAAAATCTAGTATATTTATACTACTCACATCCATTTACAAATCCTTGGCATTTGTAGAATGAAGAGCCTATCTTCTCCAAAGATGGGAGGAAGTTCTTCTTTGTCCGAGCCTTTCCTCAGGGAGGACGAGGTGAATTCTACCATATTGCCATGTCTTCATCACAGGTGAGAAAACCTTTTATTGCTGCCTAATTCCTTTTATAAACACTTGAGAAGTAATAATAATACACACCTTTGTTGGAATCCTATCTGGCACAGCATGGCACCATAAAATGCATACAGGCGGTTATTAAACACCAGCAGTTCTTGAGCTTCTGTAATAAAGAAGATAAACCCAATGGCCATTCTATGACTGGTGGAAAGTGATAGTGTTAGGGTATTGGAGAAGCATCTGGCTATGCCCCTGGATCCAGATTGTCCACTGAGAAGTGCTGGGGTCTTCTAGAGTCTCAATAGCTAATACAGCCATTTTCCATCATTTCTTATCCGATTATGCCAGTGGTTCTCAACCTTCCTAATGCTGTGACCTCTTAATACAGTTCCTCATGTTGTGGTGACCCCAAACCATATTATTATTTTTATTACTACTTAATTGTAATTTTGCTACTGATATAAATTGTAATGCAAATATCTGATATGTATGATGTATTTTCATTTACTGGACCGAGGAGGGCTTTTGGTGGGAGGATACACCAACTGTTTCCAAAAAGGAAGAGAAGGACAAGCGGAGAGATCTTCAGCCTTCTCTGTCAAAAGGGTTCCTAGGACCATCAGAAATACATGTTTTCTGATGGTATTTGGTAACCCTTTTGAAACCACACTCACGTCTCCCCTCCCCAGGGTGAGAAACACTGGATTATGGGAATATATCCAGATGCTTTTTTGATGTCCACAACACAGTTTCCACAAGTCACAGAACAACTATGAGTGGGTTCTAGTGGTTCAATGCTAAGTTGGGGATGATGATATATTTGGTCATTATAGAAGGGTGGCTTTCTGAATTGCTAATGAATTGCTAATAGAATAAATGAATAGGTCCAAGGACAAATAAAGCCTGAACACTCCCTAGAAACTAAGGTGACTAATGAACATTGTCATACTTTGGCCATAACAGGAGAAGAGATGAGACATTAGAAAAGGCAACAAGGCATGACAAGAACAATAGGAGAAGGGGAAGAGTGCATTAGAGGTGGCTAGACTCAATCAAGAAAGCCATGACTCTGAGTTTAGAAGACCGGAGTAGAGATGTTGATAACAGTGTGACTTGGCTGTCTTTCAAGCATAGGGTTTCTAGAAATCAAACTTGACTTAAATAGCAATTAACAGCAACATCTTGTCTTTGCCAAACTCACAAGTGCACAGCAGGAAATATATATTTGATCGTGATTTTGATGCAAAACCTGCCTGATACATGCTTTCGAAACCAATTAATATATTGAAACCCTGCTAACATCCAGTATTCACAGTTCTCAGCATTTCACAGTGACATCCTCCGATCCAAAAATATGTACAGATTGTTTCCATTAGGACAAAATGCACGGGAAAATGGGTACATACGCTTCCTTTAAATTCCTGGTTCAACCAAAAACACATCCTAAAAATGTATAATGGATGAAAACATGCAGCCAAATGCATCTATTGGACAATAAACAAACAAAGGAATATAATAAAGGAATGGGTAGATTTCAATGTAGTCAGCAAAGCTGCATATGAAAACAACTATGCAGTCATAAATATGCATGAAAATAATGCATTTTGTGCAAATTTGCTTTGAAAATGCTTAATGATAGTGAAATGGGAAAAAAGATTGGAGAAATTGGAAAGTGAAGGAAACCAAAATTGATGAATGTTTCCAACTCTACATTTGTGGAACTGCTCAGAATTATATTGGTTGGCTCCATCTAGTGCAGATTCATTGAATTAATGAATGGTGAGTTAATCCATTGGTACATTCAATAGATTCAATGACTCTGCACAAGTTGGGACTAACCATAGGATGCTGCCTTTAAACATCCTTTTCTTTTTACTCCAGGGAAACTACAACATAGTTTGAGAACTCCTAGAGTTATGTCAAGCACAGATTTCATTCCATTTTTTGTCACTTATACTCCCAGGACTTTAGCAGAAGGAAGAATAATAAATCAGTGTCTTATTTTTTAACTAACTGTGGCAGAGACATTGGGATAGCTTGCTTTGAAGAAGATCTGTAGAGATAGAAAAGACAGCTCGGCATTTCTGTCTGAAATTCAGCTTTTCTTCATTTTTTTTTTTTTTGGCAGCCCAACAGCAGCAATGATAACATACAGACCATCACATCAGGGGACTGGGATGTGACCAAGATTTTGGGATATGATGAAAAACAGCATAAAATGTAAGTATTCTCCTCTTTTAAGGACTGAAAAAACTTGCTTGGCATTTTTTTTTTTTTAGTTGCCATAAAGAAATTGTCATCTTGGACCTCCTCTTCCTCGGCCACGTCCTCTGCCTCTCCCAAGCTGTCTTCCAGGAACTGCTTCTTGAATTTGACTTTTGGTTCAACATCCACCAAAAGGGTGTCCAGCGGCAAGCTGTCTGGCAGAATGAAATACCTACTATTATTGCCTCTAATACCCAAAGTTTCCAATTGGACAGGTTCTCTGTTTTTCAGAGTCATTTTCACAGCTTTTAGATGAGTATTCATACTAACATCCACTCCTGTGTTGGTTCAATGAACCTGGGTCCCATTCTTCAGTTCAGTCATTACAGTTTCATGACATAGTTTCACCCTTTTTGAAGGTGACATTTGTGGCAAATAAGCAGAGACATTGGACCACTAGGTTGCTTAGATAACCTAGTGAGTCATGCTATGGATTGAAACCTTTTGGGTTAAAATATGGAAACTGAGCACCTGTTTGCATTATCTGGCTAAATCCGAATGTCCCATTGGCAAAATGGTGTAAGAATCACATTGCAATTGTGAGAGTGCTCTTGCCCAAAAGCCTCCTTTGGGTTTTGAGAGGTGTGGTTTCTAAGACAAGCATTATCATATCACATTATCATATTTTATAGTATCTGATATTATGTTACAGCAGAAGGGAATAAAGAATATTGTATACAAGTTGATTATCTCTTTTCCTAACACCAGAATTCTGAAATACTTCAAAATCATCCAGATGGTGACTTGGGTCGTAACATTTTTGCTTTTGTATGATTCGAGGCACACAAACTTTGTTTCATGCAGTAAATATTTGGAGGATTGTTTATAAGTCAGTCCCCAAGTTACAAACAAGATAGATTCTGTAGGTTTGTTCTTAAGTGAATTTGTGTGTAAGTAAGAACAGGCACATTGTTTAAGTGTAACTCCAACCATATATATGTGTGTGTGTTCAGAGTATTTCACCTCAATTTCTGTCCCTATGATAATTGGATTTTTAAAAAATTGGCTTGTTGTGGAAACAAGAATTGGAGAGAAAGCTTCAGTAGAGACATCTTTTCCCCACGATACCTCTTCCAAGAGTGATTTCCCTTCTGAAGGGTAGATTTCTATAACTCCCTGTTGTCTCACCCCCGTTCTTAACTATGAGCCTTTTGTAAGTCAGATGTTTGTAACTCAGGGAATGTCTATAAAAAACATAAATTAGTTTTATGTTTAGACTCCAAGATATCTCACTATGTACATGCCAGTGGCACAGTGGGTTTAACTGCTGAGCTGCTGAACTTGCTGACCAAAAGGTCAGCGGTTTGAATCCGTGAAGTGAGCTCCTGCTGTTAGCCCCAGCTTCTGTCAACCTAGTAGTTCAAAGACATGCAAATGTGAGTAGATCAATAGGTACCGCTTCGGTGGGAAGGTAACGGTGCTTCATGCAGTCATGCCGGCCACATGACCTTGGAGGTGTCTTCAGATAACACTGGCTCTTTGGCTTAGAAATGGAGATGAGTACCACCCACCAGAGTCAGATACGACTAGACTTAATGTCAAGGAGAAACCTTTACCTTTTACATGCAAGTATTCCAAAATCACTTTTGGACTCAAGCATTTCAGATAAAGGAAACTAAACTTCTTTATATTTTTGATGTATCTTCACTGTGGACAGAGCTTGAAAAATTTATTTTTTAGATAATTTCCAGAATCATGATGGCAGATGGCATGCTGACAGGGGGATTCTGGGAATTGCTACTCCAAAAGACAGTTTTTCCAAGCTCAGTTTTGTGATATTGGTCATATTAGAACAGTAGTTCTCAACCTTCCTCATGCCCCGACCCCTTAATAAAGTCCTCATGTTGTGGTGACCCCTAACCATAACGGTTTTTAACCATAACACAGTTTTTAACCATAACCATAACATTATTTTTGTTGCCACTTCAGAACTGTAATTTTGCTACTGTTATGAATCGTAATGCAAATATCTGATTTGCTAGATGTATTTTCATTCACTGGACCAAATTTGGCACAAACACCTGATGCACCCAAATTTGAATACTGGTGGGGTTGGGGGAGGTTGATGTTGTCATTTGGGATTTATAGTTTACCTACAATCCAGGAGCATTTTGAACTCCACCAAGGATGGAATTGAACTTGGCACACAGAACTACCACAACCAACAGAAAATACTGGAAGGGTTTGGTGGGCATTGAACTTGAGTTTTGGAGTTGTAGTTCACCTACATCCAGAGAGCACTGTGGACTCAAACAATGATGGATCTGGACCAAACTTGGCATGAATACTCAATATGCTCAAATGTGAACACTGGTGGAGTTTGGGGAAAATAGACCTTGAGTTGTTGCTGGGATTTATAGTTCACCTACAATCAAAGAGCATTCTGAACCCCACCAACAATAGAATTGGTCCAAACATCCCACACAGAACCCCCATTACCTACAGGAAATACTGTGTTTTCTGATGGTATTGGTGACCCCTCTGACACCCCCTCGTGACCCCCCTAGGGGTCCCGACCCCCAGGTTGAGAAACACCGTATTAGAAGGAAAGAGGACTTATATAAGTGTGTTGATGTTATGTCTTAAAGACAGTATGTAAAGACATTCAACACTACAGAGATTTGTACTTAACACTAAGGTTTCTTTGGGTTGTGATACACGCATGGAACTTCAGAAAGCTTTAGAAGGGTGTGCATATATATATATATATAGTTATCTAGCCATACATGTGAAACATCAGTGCAAAATCAGCACAATGGACAGCTGTTCTCATTTCCTATGGCTTTTCTAGCTGTTGAAGAATATTAATCAGATTCTTTGTTCCTTTCTTCCTGACAGCTGGGATGCTGCTTCTAATTTTCTATATTTAATTGCATATAACTAACCATTTCCATATCTTTATGACAAGCGTATCGCATGTTCAACTTCAATTTGTGAGCACATTGCTCTTTCTATGACAGTTATCTTCAAATGTGAAAAATCTGCATGAAATATTTGTTGCACCAACAACATGCATGCCACATAATTATTTTTTTTCAGCAAAACAAATTGGATAAATATTTTCTAGGAATTTTGAGCAATTTGTACAATTGTAAAACAAGGCAATCCAGTTGTATAGATGTAAAAAAAATGTTGGTGTGTGGGCAGAATAAAAACAGCTTGGATCAGAAATTGAAAAAGTTATATATATATTGCACCATAACTGCAAGAATATTCCAGCCAACATGGCCAATGTCCATGATACATGGGGAACCATTGGAGCTGTAGTCCAAAATAATTTTGAAAAAGCTTAGATAGGGACCAAACTAATTGATTCATCATTTAGTCTCAGTGAGATCAATCAGGCTTTAAGCTACTAATTGACCGATTTCATTTCCATAAGAATAAAGTGTCACTAACTTAGTTTGAATGCAACCCATCATTCAACTTGAGTATCCCTATGTAAAATGCTTCAGACCATGAGTATTTTGGATTTTTTCCCCAGATTTTGGAATATCTGTATTTGCATATACATATATAACAAGACATCTTGGAGATGGGACCCCAGTCTAAACACATTCATGTTTCACATACATCTTGTATGCATAGCCTAGAGGTATCTTAGATTATGTTGTACAGGAAACAAAGTTTGTATAATATGTTGTTGAAGACTTTCATGGCCAGAATCACTGTGTTGCTGTGAGTTTTCCGGGCTGTATGGCCATGTTCCAGAAGCATTCTCTCCTGACATTTTGCCCACATCTATGGCAGGCATGCTCAGAGGTTGTGAGGTCTGTTGGAAACTAGGCAAGTGGGGTTTATATATCTGTGGAATGTCCAGGTGGGAGAAAGAACTCTTGTTTGTTTGAGGCAAGCGTGACTGTTGCTATTGGCCACCTTGATTAGCATTGAATTGCCTTGCAGCTTCAAAGCCTGGCTACTTCCTGACGGCAAATCCTTTGTTGGTTGTGAGCCAGCTCTGATTGTTTACTATCAGGAATTCCCTCACTTGTCTAGTTTCCAACAGAGCTCACAACCTCTGAGGCTGCCTGCTATAGATGTGGGTGAAATGTCAGGAGAGAATGCTTCTGGAACATGGCCATATAGCCCGGAAAACTCACAGCAATCCAAAGTTTGAATACACCAGAAATCAAAGATGTCACTATCTCAGCCACTGTTGTGAACAATTTTGGATTTTTTAAAATATTTCAGATAAGGGATGCTCAACCTATAATAGCGTTAGAGTTTTAAAGTGCGTTCTTTAAGTTTGCAATTTCTTTATCATCATGTGAACTATTCTGGAATTACATTTTGAAAGGTTTACATGTTAAACAATCATGATTGCAACCCTGCAATTAGCCTAATCTGCCTTGTGATTCTGTAGAAGTCCCGCTCTGCTGTTAGGCACTCGTCCTCCGAGAAAAGCTCCCAGGAAGCCAGCAGAAAGCTGCTATTAGATGTACCGCTGGTGTTTCTACAATGGAAAGAAATTAAAGGGTTCTGGCTGTGGGAGTTCATCGTGACCTCTGATTTTCTAGTCTCAAAGTCCCTGGCAGACCCCAAGAATGTGTAAAACATGACTATTCTCTCTCCTTATCATTTGTCCTGGGTGATATGAATTGTTACGGCTTCTGATCTAGGTTGTTGTAGGTTTTTTCGGGCTATATGGCTATGGTCTAGAGGCATTCTCTCCTGACGTTTCACCTGCATCTATTGCAAGCATCCTCAGAGGTAGTGAGGTCTGTTGGAACTAGGAAAAGGGTTTATATATCTGTGGAATGACCAGGGTGAGACAAAGGACTCTTGTCTGCTGGAGCTAGGTGTGAATGTTTCAACTGACCACCTTGATTAGCATATAATGGCCTGGCAGTGCCTGGAGCAATCTTTTGTTGAGAGGTGATTAATGTCCTTATTTGTTTCCTCTCTGTTGTTGTGCTGTTCTAATTTTAGAGTTTTTTTTAATACTGGTAGCCAGATTTTGTTCATTTTCATGGTTTCCTCCTTTCTGTTGAAATTGTCCACATGCTTGTGTATTTCAATGGCTTCTCTGTGTAGTCTGACATGGTGGTTGTGAGAGTGGTCCAGCATTTCTGTGTTCTCAAATAAAATGCTGTGTCCAGGTTGGTCCAACAGACCTCACAACCTCTGAGGATGCTTGCCATAGATGCAGGCGAAACGTCAGGAGAGAATGCCTCTAGACCATGGCCATATAGCCCGAAAAAACCTACAACAGCTCAGTGATTCCGGCCATGAAAGCCTTCGACAATACTTCTGATCTAGATTTGCCATAGATTCTTTCTACCATCTCCTCTTTCTACCACTTCATTAGATTTGTCTGAAAACTGTGTTCTTAAAAACATACAGACTAAAGTGATCGCATACAGACTAAAGTGATCACAGACTAAAGTGATTGTTGGAGCAAAGTCTAAAGGTTTGGGAAGGTTGTTAGCTTTGCTTTTAAGTTGGTAAGATGCTTTTCAGAGACTCCCTTCTTGTAGAGGAAAGGGAACATCATAATGAAAGAATGAATGAATGAATTGACAAATAAATAATACATGTGTGTGCAGGTAATGCAGATGAAATAAATGTTGCTCCTAAAAATCTAATTATATTTTATGTTCCTTTTATTTTAGCTATTTCCTCAGCACAGAAGAATTACCAAGGACACGACATTTATACAAGTAAGATGGATTTTAAGTGAAAAAAAACCCATGCTCTGTTCTTCTAACTCATGAGCAGATTCTCTGCAAAATAAGCCCAAAGCAAATACATGCAGCCATGTCATGAAAAGTGAAGTGAAGTTTGTTTCCAAAAGTTCTGGAGAATTTGTTTCCAAAAGTTTTGCTTTTGTTTTATTTGAATAGATTGTTGGATTTGTTTGGAAAGGATGAACTGGTGTGATTTCCCCCCAATAACAATAAAAGGAGTTACATTATAAAGATTAATTTGCAAAACAGGGATGATTTGGTTGTGGTTTGTGAAGAATCTGAAGCTTCAGAGGGTGAGGAAGAGGATTTTGTGGCATCCCAAGAGGGGTTTTGGGGGAATGAAGTGGCATGGAGAGCTGTGTTACTGAATCTCCTGGGAGTTCTCGGGATGTTAGAGAAAGCAAAATCTGTTCCCATGAGAATTTGCCATAGTTTGCTCCTGAGCTGAATGTGGGAGAGTGTGAGTCTGTTACTAGGTTGGAGTGGCTGCAGCTGCACCACAAGAATGTGAAAGAAAGACAGACTCGCTTTTCTCAGTAGTTTCAAAATAAGCAGCGAAGAAGCAGGTATATGAGGAATGATGTCATGGGAAGGAATTGAGGCATTTAAGCTGTCTCTCAAACAGACAGCTCTTTGTGAGAACAACATTGCATTTCAAGTGGAAACAACTCTTAAGTTTTATGGCCTTGCTTCAAGTGTTCAAGTTTCTGGATTGTGTGTCTTGTTCATATTTTCTTGGATAAGTTTCAAGCTTCTGGGTTGTAATTCCTGTTCAGGTCTTCATGGTTTTCGGTCTGGTTTATGCTCTGTTTTGTTCTCAAGTTCAGGATATAATTTTGATTTTGCCTTGTTTCGGTGTATTGCCTCAAAGTGCAGTTCCAAGTTTTTTAAATCCTGTGATTTCATTCATGAAACTGAATGTCACCTACACTCAAGAACTTTGGAGATTCTCAATTTGTCATTTAGATTTTGGATTGTACTTTTTATTGTGCTTTTCCTTATCTTTTATATTTTTATTAATACACTTTACTTAATGGGTTTTTTCATCCTTGCGTGGTATTTGGGTGAAAAGGTGTCCCACAGCTGGGACACAACAGATTTTTTACAGCTCAGCCTGTGATTGTGTTCCAGGATCAGGGTGCTTTGGATGTGGGGAGTGGTGTCAATGAGTTTCAAGATGGCAATGGTTTGGTCAGTGATCTTAATGCAGAGAATGACCGGGAGATCCGTGCTCAAAGTGTAGCTTCCCATGAAAATGTCCCTGAGGGGTGTGGGGATGATGGTGTACTCCCTGATTTGCTACCAGAGAGTTCCCATGATAGGGAACATGAAAACAGTTCAGCTTCTGGCCCAGCTGCAGAAATTAATGAGCAAATAGATAGACGCGAGAAGATTAGTCAAAACAGGAGAGCCGAACAGTAGTTTCGGGGGTCTGCCAGGTTCCGAGAGAAAAAGATAAGAAATTCTCAGTTAAAATGAAACTAATTTCTGAATGCTAGAGACGTAGCTAACGAGGAGATAAAAGTCCCAAGTACAGGATATGTAGTCAGATGAAACATTGTTTAGAATCAAGTCAAGATCTCGTTCTTGCTCATGGAAGTTTTGCTTGGAAAATTCATGTTTTAAGTGCCTTTGTTTCATGGTTTTGATTCTTGGATTTTATGCTCTATATTCATGGCCTGGGTTCATGTTTCCTGATTCCTTGCATTTTATTTGGAAAGTTTTGTCTTTGTTTTTATGGACTATCACCCTGGACTACTTTGTTCCTGCTTATCTTCCTACCTAATTGGATTTACCTATTTCTTTAAAGTATTTTTACCTTATTGTTTTTTTAATTATCTTCAATAAAAGGATTGTTTTTCATCCAACAGTGTGGTGTTTAAAGTCAGAGGGCTTTTCCTGTCTTGGAGTGCAACAAGATTTAGCATTTTAGCTATCATTTGACTGTAGCTTTTAAGAACCTTTTGTACTGCTATGCTGGGACTAGAAGTAACATAATTCACTTCACTCATGTTCAGGATTTCACATAACCATGATCTAAACAGAAACATATCCTTCATGGATACAGGGGCCTTACTGTATTGTTAAGGACCAGTACTCAATATGTTCATTTAATTTGACTGAATACTGGGTCTCTCTCTGCCATGTTTAGTGCTATGATATATCTGCATACCTATTATAAGGGTTAAAAAGAGATAGCCATCTGCCTACCTTTGTGCTTTGTTTGTGAATCTAAAGGAAGCGGAATTCTGGGCTCAGCAGAATCAGCTGTGATCCAGACAGACAAATTGAAAACGCTTTGGCCTTCCACGTTTGTGCCAGAATGATGGGTGGTTGAGCTATATATGGCTCCTGATGTGCTGCAGTGATGGATAGACTCATTCTAAATTATTAGCTGACACCAAGAGCTTGGAATCTGACTTCCACTTTATCTCTAGGGAAAACGTTATCCATCAACTTCTTTTAAACCTGAATAATGCCTTCTGCTCACAATTCAGCTTCACCAAGTCCCATTTTGCCCTTCCAGTGATGAGGATAGTGATGAAAACATTTATATCCCAGGTTACAAAAAATGAATACAGTTAAATGCATTTAGAGATAAGGGAAAGCATATTAAAAGTCATTGTCAAAAATTAATTGAATTATCCTCACAATTGATACTGTTTAAAAACTTTTTTTTTGGACTGCAGTCTCCAGCAAGCCAAGACATTAGGGTCAAACAAGCTGGGTACAATGGGAGCTACCATTAAACCTAAGATTACATTGCATTGGTGGGATGCAGTCTTGTAAAGATTCAGGGTTCTTAACTAGCCCAGTATTGCATTCTTCTGAGTGGTCACAATAACTTTCAAGATTCTCAAGCAAAAATGTTCATTTACTACTTTATGGCATTATTTTAAAATGTGAAATATTAAAACTGGGATTTTCTTTATCATATGGTGTTACATACCGAGGTATATGCCTTATATTGCATTGGAAAGCAGTGCTTCTTCCATATCGATTACAGTGTTCTCTCACTTATCGTGGGTGTTACATTCCAGGACCACCCACGAAAAGTGAAAATCCGTGAAGTAGGGAGGCTATATATGTATATCCGAGGGTGAGGCAGAAGCGAGGAGAGATTTAAAGGCATTGTGCACTTTTCTTTTTGCTAGCTATCTCTGCTTTGCTTTGCGATCTCTCTTGATTGGCTGCCTCTCTCCCAAGGGTGAGGGTGAAACTCCCTCCACACTCCATCGTTGCCAGGAGGCGGGATTAGAATGCCACTCTGGGCAATGGCAACCATTCATAAACTGGGAGGCAAAAACCCGCGAAACAGCGAGTCTGCAAAAAGCGAAGTAGCAAGGGAACACTGAACACCTGAGTACAGTATGAATATGACTGATTCACTAAGCGTTGAGCTATGGCCTTTCTGATTTCTCTAAGGCTGATATGTGTCCCAAGTAGTTTTAATCAAGAGGTACTTGAGGGTCCATAAGATGCAATAAACATACCAATTAAAAGCAGCCTAGGTTTCTTGATATTCATGGATATGTTATTTGCTTCTTCTTTTCCAGTGCCAGCACTAAAGGGAACTACAACAGGCAGTGTATCTCCTGTGATTTGATCCAAAACTGCACATACTTCAGTGCGTCACTCAGCCACAACATGGCATATTTCATCTTGACCTGCGAAGGTAGGTTTCATATAAACCTCCAAGCAAAGTGTGGAAAGAGTAGGTTTATTCCAAGATCGCATCAATAACAAATTAACATACTGAGGATGTTAAAATATATGCAGTTGTTTTAAACATTTGGCAAATAGTGTGGAAAACTTGAATGAATTTTGTTATCACATGCTTCTACGGTAGATGAAAGGAAAGATTGTTAGTGGGAGAGCTCTGACAGGTAGATCAGCTGTCAGATTTTTAAAAACATCTAAAGACCTATCTCTTCTGGCAGGCCAACCAGTCAGTTTTAATCATAAATTTTAAATTTGCATCTTATGTTTAATCTTTGTTCTGTGTATTTTAATATATATATTGTAAAAATATGTTTTAATATGTGTATTTTGTAGAATGATGGTGTGTGTTTAGCAATATTGCAACCTGCCTTGGGCCACAAAGAGATGATGATGATGATGATGATGATGATTATTATTATTATTATTATTATTACTATTATTTGAAACACAACAAGAAGAGTCCACAGCAGACAAGATCACCCTACTGTCTGTTGTATTGAATCACACATCGGACACTTCCCAAGTGTCTATGACTGTGTGATGTATCGGCAAATAATACGTGCAGATCCCGGTAAGGTGGCCTTCTGCAGCTGGCAGATGATAATTTTGTCAGTACTGATTGTGTTTTAAGTGCAGGCCAAGGTCTTTAGGCACTGCACCCAGTGTGCCGATCACCACTGGGACCACCTTGACTGGCTTGTGTCAGAGTCTTTGCAGTTTGATCTTTAAATCCTCATATCGTGTCAGCTTTTCCAGTTGTTTCTCTTCAATCCTGCTGTCGCCTGGGATTTTTAATACAATCGTGAGGTCAGGAGTATTGTGCTTCAAAACTCTGTCTATCTGGATTCGGAAGTCCCAGTGTAGCTTGACGTGTTCATTTTCTGAAACTTTTTCTGGCTTGTGATCCCACCAGTTCTTTGTCACAGGCAGATGGTATTTGTGGCACAGGTTCCAATGAATCATCTGAGCAACTGTGTTATCATCATCATCATCATCATCATCATCATCACAGTTGGCCTTTCAGATTTGCAGAGGTTTAACTTCTGCGGGGAGCCCCCGGTGGCGCAGTGGGTTAAACCCCTGTGCTGGCAGGACTGAAGACCGACAGGTCGCAGGTTCGAATCCGGGGAGAGGCGAATGAGCTCCCTCTATCAGCTCCAGCTCCTCATGCGGGGACATGAGAGAAGCCTCCCACAAGGATGATAAAAATATCAAATCATCCAGGCATCCCCTGGGCAACGTCCTTGCAGACGGCCAATTCTCTCATACCAGGAGCGATTTGCAAGCACTCCTGACACGTCCAAAAAAAAAAACCTTCTGCGGGTTTACTTACTTGTGGATTTGATTCGTATGTTCTCTTTAGCAATTCCTAAGTCCTCCAGGATGATCATGTAGTCAACTTTCACCCAAAGGACCAAGAAATTCCTAGAGAGCATAATTATCCAAGAATCTCTAGGTCCACCAGCAGTGGAAGTTTACCATGGAATTGGCCTGGAGGAGCTGGAGAGTGTTCTCTCAAGTAAAAAAAACACAACATTTTAATTGACTTTTTGATTTGCATAAGGGTGCTGTATTCCTAAGCCCTCTGAAAGAGGAGGACGTATACTTAGGAGTAGCATTATACAATTTATTGGGTCCTACTGCTGACTTTGTATGTACCAGATAGAACCGTTGTTTCTGGCAGCAAGGAGCACTTGGATGTTTGCTGAGGGCAAGTGAAAACTATTGTTTCTTCCTTATTCCTGTTCCATAACACATATAATCTGTTAGGAAATATATATACTTGCTGAAGGCTAAGAAATGTATAAAGTTAGCCTGTAGCTAGCTGCATATTTCTCACTCTTTGAAGTGTGTTCTGAACACTTAAATTATTCTCATTTTGCTTTAAGGGGAAATGCCAAATAGCTAGAGTTTGTATGACTTTAATATTAACCTTTTCAGAAAGCTAGAAAACAAGACATGCTTGTTATTCAGAGTCAATTAACATAATTTTTGCATTTTTTTTTTTGCCAAAACAGAGCAAAAATGTATAATTGTGATAGCCTATTGGAACAAATATCAAATAGGATATCAAATAGGTAAGGCCTTGTACCATGTCATTGGTATGCCTTGAGTCCTCATGGGGAGAAAGGTGGGGTATATATAGATAATAAACAAACAAACAATTAAACATCTGTTTTCCACCCTTTAATAATATTTTTTTTCATGAAGATCAATAATGGATAGGGTTTCTCTTTTGTTTTCTACCTAACAGCAATTCCTAGAAAAACTATGATAAAGAAACAAGCCAATTTATCCAAGTTTTTGAAGTTGGTTTGTTTACCTAAACCATACCTAAAATTAAATAAATTTGAGTTCAGAAATAATATAAATTAATTTAGTAAAGTTAATCTATACACATAATAAAAGTGAAACTATGTATATGTGTTGTGTATGAGACTGGAGTGCCCACTTTCACAGACAGGCTCCCATTTCCACAAACAGCTATGATCCCCACCTATGAGGAGCCACCAAAGGCTCTCCCTCCAATGACATTGCAGGTTATTGTGAGCACTGTGAACATGTAGAACACTTGCCAGGGTCCTCCACAAGCACTTCCCACCACCCAAGTGAAGGCTTTCATACAGGGACCATTTCATCCTAGATTTTCTGTGTTTCCTCCACCACAAACATCTCAGTGTTTCTGAGTCCCTTGGTGTAGAATTTGCATGATCCTACCCACTGCTTCTCCCATAACCCTTTCCTATTCCTTTCTGTGAATTGATCAGCAACTGAACATGCTGGAGTAGGTTGGGGACTGACTCAACATGATGGAAATTGTAGTTCACCCTGCATCAAGATAGCACTGCGACCCCCACCAACAATGGAACTGGACCACATTTGACACACAGAACCACCATGACCAAAAAACAAAATACTGGAGAGGTTTGGAAGGAATTCAACTTGATTTATAGCCATTGTACATAGTTGGATTTATAGTTCACCTGTAATCAAATAGCACTCTGGACCCCTCCAATGATGGCCTTGGACCTCATTTGGCACACTGAACCCCCATGACCAGTTGAAGGTACTGAAGGGATTTGATGGGACTGATCCACCATGGTGAGAGTTGTAATTCCTCCTGCAGCCAGAGAACACACCAATGATGCATCTAGAGCAAACTTGTCCAACATGACAAACTTTATTTATGGAGTTTCAGGGGTTTAACCTGGCATTATGTGAGTTGTAGTTCACCCACAACCTTATTCATTTTGTAAAATTAAAAAAATGACTTCTAATTAACTGGGCAATGCCAGGTACCCAAGCTAGTTGAAAATAAAAGTAACAGTTTCTCATTTCCTTGCAGCTGTGTTGCACAAAGTGGGGAAGATTCACTTATTGCAGTGGTTCTCAAACTGTGGGTCCCCAGGTGTTTTGGCTTACAACTCCCAGAAATCCCAGCCAAAATATCTGGGGACCCACAGGTTGAGAACCACTGACTTATTGGAACATTAAGTCCTGTTTCATGTTAATTTCTTTTTCCAGGCCATAATATCTAGATCAGACATGGGTAAACTTTGGCCCTCCAGGTGTTTTGGACCTCAATTCCCAAAATATCAACACCTGGAGGGCCAAGGTTTGCCCATGCCTGATCTAGGTCATCTCTGATTTTTTTTTTCAAGTCAGGAACAACTTGAGAAACTGCAAGTCACTTCTGCTTTGAGATAATTGACAGTTTTCAAGGACGCTGCCCAGGGGACACCTGGATGTTTAATATTTTACTATCCTAGGCTTCTCTCATGTCCCCGCATGCGAAGCTGGAGCTGACAGAGGGAACTCAACCTGCTCTCATGGTCCCCGTATGAAAGCCTTCAATTGGGTGGATTCAGACAACTGACCTATTGCATCACCAGGAGAAATGTTAAACCAAGTCCTACAAAATGCCCATGGTGATACCTGACACTGGGTTTACCTTTTAATCCGGTCCTGTTGACCTTGCGAAAATATTGAAAAACTCTTCTTATCCTCAATTTGTAGCTACTGCAACAGCACAGAACATATCAAGAGGG